TAGTTGATATTTCACCTTTGCCTGCAGTCAGTTCATAGTGATATTGCTTTAGGAAATAAAGACAAAGTAGTTTAGAGTTTATGTTCAGAAAGTGCTTAGCCAGCTCTTCTGTTGTTTCCTATTTGAACCTACTGAACTGTGCATGGAGAGCCCCTTTTATGAGTAAGAGGGCAAGTGAAGAAGTTACATAACAGTCTTCAAGGCATTGTGCAGTCTGTAATTAGCCACTGCCCTTTTAAATGAGGCATAGCCTATAGCTCACTCACTGTTTCCCAAACTGTCACAATTTGAAATCACAGAGTCAATGATCAGTCACTATGAACATGTATAAAATGAGTGATACACAGGGTAACCTTTGTCCTTACCTGTTAAACCTAGGACAAGAAGTGCTCTCACTAATGTATGAGGAAAGAAAGCCAAATAAAATTTGCCTAAATTTTCTGTTAAGGTTTTATCTTAAGACACTAACCCCAGAATATAGGCAAGAATAATGCATTAATAAAGGAACTCTGCTTCAAATAAAAGGAGAACCTGGGCATGAACCTACTCCTCACCTCACCTAGTTCATACATGCTGGCTCTCTCATAATGGCTTTGTCTGTACTCATTATCCAGAGAGGGGTCTGTTTCCTCTTCAACTTAAAAATCATCAGAAAAAAATATCCTCATTTCCTCCAAAAGAAATAAACACAGGCAAAGGTCAGAGGGATGCATTCCATGGAAGCTCTCCATAGGAGAGCAAAGTGCAAGGCAAGCAGCCTGCACCAGAAAGTGCTTGTTGCTGTCAGCACTGAGCATCTGGGGCCACATCACCCCCAAAGAAAGTGAGGCCCTCACAGATGCTGACCCCTTCCCCATGGCTGTGAGGAAGCATTCTGCCTGTTAACGTGTCTTTTTGTTTTGCATTTTGAGACAGGGTCTCACTAGATATCCCAGGCTGGCTTTGAACTCACTTTGTAGCTCAGACTGACCTTCAACTCACAATCTCACTGTGTGCTGGGACTGCAGATGTGTACTAACACATGTGGCTGGTGTATGCTAGATTTGAATATTTGTGAGTAAAAGCATTTCTGTGAGTATTCTTTGTATCACCCAAAGCAAACTGTCTCCCATGACCTGTAGGTATTAGCCTCTTTTGGAAGGAGCGGCATCCTGAGTCCTTTCTATAACATTTCTCAATTTCTTCCACTGCTTTTCCATTGTCTGGTAGCCATTGTTCTTGCTCAGGCCCTCATCATCTCTTAACTCTTTCCTTATAGCAGAGTTACATCTGCTCATTCTATCCTTCATAATCCACTCTTCCTAGGGCCATGACAGTCATGTTTCTAAATTCAAATAGTAGTCCGTGGCTTTCTTGGTTTAACTTAACCCCATATCTCATTCCTTTTGTTAATTAATTCATTAATGCAAATATTGGATGAATGAGTAAAGTGCTAGGAGCTTTAAGTCATGGATGGGACAAAGTTCAGGATAGAGAAGGAACTCTGGAGATGAAATACACATATCTCTCATTTTGTACATATTATATGCTAATAAAAGATGCTAAAAGTATAAAAATTAAGAAAGTAGCAAGTGTCTTTTGTACAAAGAATGCCCATCTCAAGATAACTATCAAAACAAACCCCCTTTAAAAAATGACTCTATTTTACTTTTGGCCCTAGGCTGGTAACTAAAATAGGTACTTGGATCACAAAAGACAAACAGAAATCATGTCTTATTTATTATCTTTTCCCTCACCCCACATAGCACAGTGCCTTGAACATAGTAGGCTTGAAAGACAGATTTTTAAAATATTATTGGCCAGTGTGAGCTTTACATGATGAATCTATATTTGAAAATGTGTGTAGTATAATTTTTATTCGTTTTTCAAGAAAGGATGACCAATAAAATATTGGTTAAAATTAAATTCTCTTCACTAATGCTTAGGGAGGATATTGTTAAAAGAATACTGTATCCAAGGTCATATAATACTGAAATTTTTTAATGTAGTTCTCATTTTGTACTCCCTTATTCATAGAGCACCCCACAAACATTGCAGTCACAGATGGTGGTGATTTAATTATGGATCATTTCATCTTATCCATGTCAGCGAGATTAAGTCCTGAGGACTGAGATGAAGGTAATTTCTGAAGGAGCTAAGAAGTTGCTTGCATTTCTTTTTACACTACAGATCAGTCACTGTGAGCATGTGTCAATAAATGATAAACAGGGTAACCTTTGTCTTTGCCTCTTAAACCTAGGATGGGAAATGCAAAGGAATTCTCTGATTAAATGCTCCCACTAATCTATGAGGAAAGAAAGTATGCTTCCTGAGTGCTGGGATTACAAACGTACACGTACACATAAATTTCTGAGCAGATTATTGCCTAGAGAGTTTATACCTCACATCAGACATAACTTGGTGGCCGTGTGCATAGTAAGAATATTAGTATTCCACAGAATGGCCTGTGTGTTAAGACCATACACTGAACTGCTTCTGAGGACATCTCTTTAGGTAAGAAACTGCCAAGCCTTCCAGGCATGCTTCAGGTTACATGCTTCTAATCCCAGCTACTCAGGAAGCAAATGGAGGAGGATGGTGGTTTGAGGCCAGCCCAGGAAAAGCTACCCAGACCCTATCTCAAAAACAAACTAAGGACAAAAGAGCTGGGCACGTGACCCAAGTGGTAGAGCATTTTCCTAGTATGTGCGAGACCTTGGGTTCAATCCCCAGTACCTCAAAAAAAACCCAGAAAGTACCAAGCCTATTTTGTTACTTTCCACAAGTGAGAACATGAAGTTTCTTCATGTGAACTCAGCCACTCTCTTGAGTCTGAAGTCTTTCATTGCCATGTGAACTGGCAGGCCCCTTTAATATCACTTACTCCCATTCTTGTTTATATGAAATCATTAAAGGAAAGTATGGTTATTTCTAGAAACTTTCAACTGAGGCACTTCTCCAAGGATGATCAGGCCTAAACATGTTGACATGGGAAGATGCTCCTGCTGGCTCACAGACAAATTTTTGAAGTTTTTTTACAGGGGCATGGAGGGACTCTCACTGACCTGCCTAATTAGGGTTTCCTTCATGGATTTTATTAGTTGCTTGGTATCTAACAGTCTCTGCTTCAAGTGACCTTGGTCTTTGCTCACCAGGAACACATATCTGTCTCTCTGTGCTGGTTTATAGGTACTCTTGGTGGCCATGTTTGGATGAAATTGTCTTACAAGGAAGCAAAACCAGCAACTCTGCTCTGCCCTGTTCCTGGAGCGCTCTTCCCCTCATCTTCCTCTGGCTGTCTTCTCTGGCTTCTCACCACTTAGTTCACAGAATGTTTGATGCGCCTTCCTGGACTACCCCGTGTAGGGTTGCCAGTCCTCACAGTGGTGATCACCTAGGTTACCCTGTTCTGTTTGCTCTGAAACACAGCACTGCCTGCAATCCCCTTATTTGCCTTATTTATTTGTTTCCTTATGTATTATCTTCACCAGCATCTGAATTAAGCACCATGAGTGCAGGCCTGGTCCTGCAAGTCCTGGTGTGACTTGCTCACTGTTGAATTCCCAGTGGTTAGCACATGTTAAATGCACAATGCTTATTCAACCATGCTTATGTCACATGTTGAATAATGAAACTCAGTGTGTCTATGGTCCTCTAAAACAGACTTTCCAAGAGAAATACAATATGAGCAAATTATATAATATAAAGTTTTCTAGTAGCTACAGTAAGGAAGTAAAAAAGAGATAGGTTAAGTTACATTTAGTGATGTATTCCATTGAACTCATCGTCTCTAAGCTTGTCATTTCAACACACAATCAATGTAAGAAATTTTCACCATATATTATACATTATATTTTTTAACATTCATTTCCAAAAAAAATGCATATATTTTAAGTTAACAATATATCTCGGTGTACTGGAACATAGTGGATGTGTTTGTGGCAGTTTGTTGCACGTATAAATATCTTCCATAATTCTGGTGTGGGATGAGAAAATTGAAAACCATGATTACTTTAAAAAAGTAATTTCACAAATCAGTTACTATGTAAAAGAAGAAAACAGGTTTTTGTTTTCTTTGTTTTGTTTTGTTTGTTGACAGAGAATCCTACTATCCTCAAAACTTGTGATCATCCTGCCTCAAGTCTCCCGAGAGCCGAAAGTATAGATGTGTACTACCATACCTGGCAGCACACAGCTGTGATAGCTTATGGCCACATTACTTCTGATCATTCAAGTAATGCAACACTATTTAAATATGGATAAATTTGGAGTTTAAAATATATTTCAGAAAGAATGCATTTCCTTAGTATGAGAAGTATATTTTGGCTTGGAGCCTATTTTTCTAAGGGGTCCTTAGAAATCAATACTACATTGTGATTTAGGGGGTATAAAGAGCGAGATTAACTTATTTTAATTAATCTACAGTCTAGATTCCTGGTAGATGAACTGAATGAATTTTTATTCATATAAAACTTCTGAAATTTGAAATCAGAAATCTAGGGCACTTTAAAATGCCATTATTATAATTATTACTTTTTGGTAATTGGTTGGTAATTCTTGAGGCAGCACTGATCCCAAGGCCTTTGGAATTATTTAAGAATCTCCAAGGTAGTCCTTATGCTCCTTAAATCAAAACCACCACATAATTATGATTTTAACAAAATGAAAACTCAAGACAAAGAAGTCAAAGTTCACCCCAAGATGATTGTGCTCTCTACAATGTGGGACATACATATGGAAACAATAAGGGGATTTCAGGGCACCAAGCCCTCAATGGTCAAAACAGGAATGTTTAAAATACCCTGTTCATAGTTAAAAATAATTTGTACTCCAGGTCCAATGACCATTTGCCAGGGAGAACCAAAGTTGAGAAATTTCTATTAAAAACATGACTCAGAGGAAAAAATACAGAGAAGAGACTGGTAATGAAGGAAATGATCAGATGTCGTCCCCCATTGGTTACCCCTGTGATCACATGTTCTGGGTATCTTTTAAAAAGGGTTTCTGGACTCAGGAGGGTCACAGCACCTCCCTGAAAACTGCAACATTTTCCTCACCTGGAAGAGTAATTCCAGAAGGTTCACAAAATGTGTGATGCATTTGTAGGAACCTGGAAACTGGTCTCCAGTGAAAACTTTGATGAATACATGAAGGAAGTGGGTAAGGAAGTGTGATATGGGGTGGCTGTCTTTGTATCTTCTTCTCTTGGTGGGGAGAGGGCTCATAGCTGCATTTTCACCCTGGAAGTCCTGGCCAGCTTTTCTATGTGGACACTGTCCAAGCAGCAAGTAGAATCTATTTCTAGAAACATTCAGAACCAGGGCTACAACAAATGCTTCCTACAGGTGAACCAATATGAAAATGGGTCTAAATGAAATTTTCATTGATCTATAGAATGAAAACATTTCCACTTTAATTGCAAAACTTAGGTGTCTGGTTTAGTGGGTACATTGTGCTTTCCTTTCATCTCTTTTGTATGTAAAATATGCAATAACTTGGAAAGAAAAGTATTTATTTTGTAGTATGCAATAATTTCCATTTGAAACAGAAGTTACTGTTTTCCCCATCTTAGCAAAAAAAAATTTTGGTAAATATATGTTAGCAAATTAATTTCTTGTCTCAGTGTCAAACCATTAAAATGTGTGGTGGTTTTATAGTAGAGAATCTGAATTTCAGAAAATGTATTCTTTAAAGGGCTCAAATACGTGGCACGCCACAGAATTGTTGCATAACTCAAAAGCAGAGTGTTACATATGTAACCTCCTCTCTGGTAACATAGGCTTGCAGCTCTCTCGGTCTGTTAGCGTTGCCAGGGTGTCATTGTGTGAATGTCGGCCAGATAATTAGGCAGTAGTACAATGGAAGTAACTTAGGGAGGTGCATTCTCAATTGCTTCTGTTTTGAAAGACTTTTATACAGATTTGGATCCAGGATTAGAAAACGGAATTTTACACAATATCTTCATTAGGGTTTAGGACTTAATCCCCTAAATCTCAGAACATTTGACCTTTCCTTTTATTATACAGCGTATACTTTTGATTACCTGTAACTACCATTTTTCTTATTTATAGTTGAGTGGGAAATCCAGAATTTCAGCATGATTAATTTTCTAGAATATCGACTAATTATGACTCAATACACTAATTAATATGCACTGATATAAAAATGCCAGGATTTGGGACCATTATAAGTGTTTTACACTATTAATATTTGTATTCAAATTCTAATAACATTGTCTAAATTATAAAAGACTGATAATTAAAGGCAATAGGATACCTCCTGAATGAAATTGGCAGCTCTAATTGAGGATGAGTGGGCAGGTGTTCCTTCAGTAGTCAAACAAGGACAGAAAGAAGCAAGTGAAGATATGATTTTTCCCAAGCTCATCCATTCTGGACTCACACTACATCTTTCCTCCATCTACTATGCTGATTCCCTCCTTAGATTTAGTGTGTGTTGTAACTGAGTCAGGACTTGATGGAGCAACATATTATCTTCCCACTTGTGGCTACTGTTTGGACAGAGAGCTTGAGTTGTAACCTCAGCATTGCTTAGTTTGCACCATATTGCTCTCTCAGTCCCTCCTTAATTCTAACCTTTGATCACTTTTAGTCAAAGAAATAGCCAGATGTGTCAAAAAATTCAACACATCTATGACTGTCAAAAACTGTCTATAAAATGGAGTGACATCAAACTGCTAGTTTATATTAGTTTGTAAGTTTTTCATTCCGTATCTTACACAAGAAAATATATTCCTCTTAAAAAAAAAAACCAGGATCTCACAACTTAGGTGACAGGAATCCAAATATATTCATTTCTGAACTATTCTAAATTAAAAAGTACTGATTTCTGGGAATGATATCAGCATTCTAAAATGTATGAATGTAGGAAAAAATTTTCCTTTTGGAGAAATTAATCAAAATCTTTATTTCGTGATGGAATAATTTGGGAAAGAAGCCTAGAAAATTAGACTTGGCAGAAAATGTTATGAAATGTGATTTTAATACACTCAAAATTGTTGATGGTTTAACTAAATAACTATTAGCAGCCTCAAAAGTCTTGTTCAAAATTCTGTCCCTGACTGAATTATATTTTTAAATATAATTGTTAAAATCTAAGAAGGAATGAAATTTCAAGTTGCTTCTATATATATATTTTCCATATATTAAGACTTAGTCACTGTATGTATTCTTGTTGAAAATTAATAATTTGTCTCCTGAGGAGTTAAATCCAGAACTAAAGAAGAGGAAGTTCAAAGAATAAACCTACATCTACTCTACCTCAAAATTTTTCTTTAAGTAATAAGCCCTCAATACTTAATCAGCAGAAGCTGTTTAAATGAGGCTTTAAGAAACTCACTGGTGTCTTTCTCCTCTTTCACACACAAACCCCACAGTTCTCTGACTTAGATAAAGACATGAGAGAAATGTAAGCCTGACATTGTTTTCTTTTCCTAACTGTAGGCGTGGGTTTTGCCACCAGGAAAGTGGCAGGCATGGCTAAACCCAACATGATCATCAGTGTGAATGGAGATGTGATCACCATTCGATCAGAAAGTACCTTTAAAAATACTGAGATCTCCTTCAAACTGGGCCAGGAATTTGATGAAGTCACCGCAGATGACAGGAAAGTCAAGGTGAGGAAGTGGTGCAGAGGGAATGCCTCATTTCCAAATTGCCACAGGCTTCAAGAAACCACTTCATAATAACAGGAAGAAAAACTATTCTGTCATAGGCTAAAGGTCCTGAACTCCTCCATCAAACTATGTTGCTTTCCATATATAGTTGGGGGACTTTTCCCCTTTTTGTTAAGTTGTCCTTATATTTTAAAAAAGATTTAACATAATTTATGTGTTATTTAATGCATCAAGTATTTGAAGCAAATTAAAGCAACAAGTCCATGTTAGAAAACATTTATAAAAGCCAGGCATGATAATACTTGTCTAAAATCTTACCTACTTGGGAGACTGACTAGGATTGTGAATTTGAGGCCATCCCAACTTACATAGGGAGACCCTGACTCAAACTTAAAAGTGCTGGGGATGTTGCTCCATAGTAAAACACTACCTAGCATGTACAAGGCCCTGAGTTCAATCCCAAGTACTGAAAATAAACACATTTAAAAAAAATTTTTTTAAGGAATCAGGAGCCACTGGCTCACAGCTGTAATCCTAGCTACTTGGGAGGCTGAGATCAGGAGAATCATGGTTTAGTGCCAACATGGGCAAATAGTTTGCAAAACCCCATCTCCAAAATAATCAGAGTAAAATGGACTGGAGGTGTGGCTCAAGTGGTAGAGCACCTGCTTTGCAAGTGTGAAACCCTAAATTCAAACTCCAGTCCCACCAAAAAAAAAAAATTTTACAAGGGAAAATTTATAAAAGACTGGAAGAAAAGTCATCTTAATGTAAATTTCTGACTATGTTGTTTCACAGTATATTTTCAAATTGCAACTTTGTATATCCTAATTATGATATATATATATATATATATATATATATATATGCATATATATGCTGTGTGCTGTTATTTTCTAGACTTGTTTTTTTCTTGTTGCAATATATTCTTGTCACTGTCATTTAGAATTATTAAAAGTATTCCATTGAGCCAAGGTACTGCATTATTAATTTTATTTGCTACACACTGTGATCTGCAGAGCCTCATCACCTTAGATGGAGGTGCCCTGGTACAGGAGCAGAAGTGGGATGGAAAATCAACCACCATAAAGAGAAAACGAGAAGATGATAAACTGGTGGTGGTGAGTATCTCCTTGGGACTTCATTGTTGTTATTGAGGAAACTCACTTTGCTTATACAGACCAAAAAAGGCCATATTTATTGGGATTATGTTTCTATTTTGACAATTGTCCTTCATGCTGTGTGTGTGTGTGTGTGTGCTGAACCAAGGGTCTTGGGCTTGTTAAGTACATGCTAACCCCTGACCTACACTCCAACCCCCTTTGTACTGTCATGCTCCACCCAGTCATGCTATATCCCAGCAAGCATTCCCTGCCTCCTCCCAAAGACCCTCCGCCTGTCTCCAGCAGTTCCCTCACCACTATGTTACATATTCCTGCTGATGTTACTTACTTTACCATATAGATTGTAAGGTTTCCTGAGGGAAGAATTGTGTCTTCTTGGTCTTTGTAGCTCCCTAACTTATCACAACATGGGGTACAAATGTATATTAATATATGAGCCCAGAACAAATGTCTTTTGCTGAATATTGCTTTTTTCCCCAACATTGAGAGACACCATAATTAAACCCATGGTGTAGTCCCAGTCACTGACCAAGAATGTTTTTGTGTTCATGTCTAGGAATGTGTCATGAAAGGCATCACTTCCACCAGAGTTTATGAAAGAGCCTAAGTCAAGGGACATGGACCTGGACTGAAGTTTGCATGGAACTCTGCAACATTCTAATGAATGTATTGTTCAAAAACATATCATTATTTGCCATTAACAAGTGACTAATCTTTCCTAAGCTGAATTTTGTTGAACATGGTTATGTTGGTTAAATAAAACTTTTCAGATTTAGAATGTGGTATAATAATATTTTTATTGTGCTAAGTAATTTTGTACTCATAACTGAATGAAGAAAATAGAAAAATTGTATTATTACTTTCTGATATAAATAATAAGATCTTTGATAATAGTGCAGTGTAGAAATTAATATCCATGAATTTTCCATTTTTGTATGTAGGGGATAGTAAGGGTACTATGACTGAATTTTAAGCCCTTCTTAAGCATATCTACAGTCAAGAACTACCTCTCAGAGACCTAAGGTACTGTGAAGCACAGTGAAAACTACCCATAGCTCTCTGCTTCAAGTGTTCACATTCCATGCCTGCCCTGTCCTAGAGTATTACAAGACAGCAGTACACATGATGCATGTTGTAGAAAAAATCTCTAGTCTATAATTTTTTTGCTCATTTGTGGTTTTAAGACAGGGTCTTGCTAGGTAGCCCAGGCTAGTCTTGAACTCACTATGTAGCTCAGGTTGGTCTCATATTTGCAATTCTCCTGCTTCAGCCTCTGAGTGCTGGGATTCCAGGCATGTGCCAACATGTTCAGCTAGTCTATAATTTTAACTCTTAAAAATTACTAGTAGTTGGACACTGGTGACTCATACCCTGTAATCCTAGCTACTCAGGAAGCAGAGATGAGGAGGATCACGTTTGAAGACAGCCAGGGTAAATAGTTTGTGAGACCTTATCTCAGAAAATCTCACCACAAGAAAAGGGTTGATGGAGTGACTCAAGGTGTAGGCACTGAGTTCAAGCCCCAGAACAGCAAAACAAAAACAAAAACAAAACAAAACAAAAAAACCAAAAAATTACTGGTAAACCAGTGTGGAAAGCAGAATAGGAGAAGCCTATGAGGTCATAAGCACAGTTGTACTAAATATTCTGCAGGCTGAGATTTGGCACAGCCCCAGCTGCAGAAGAGAGCAAGAAGGTGAGATGCAGCTCAGCTGCTTTTCCTAAATTGTTTATTTTCAAAGAAGCAAGAATGCAGGTTCCTCTTGTTACAATGTCATGCCCCTCCCTGAGAACTGCTGCTCCACCTCCTTGCTTACCACTGGGTATAAAAGACTCACTGAAGGAGGACAGGAAGCTTTTGGATGGGGGAAGCTTTTTGATGAAGGAGTTTTTTGGCTGAAGGGAAATTGCTGCGGGGAGGATTGCTGAAGGGAGGATTGCTGAAGGGAAAAGAATTGCTGAAGGAGAATTGCTAAAGGGGAATTGCTAAAGAGGGATTGATAGAATTGGTTGGCAGCTTGTGAGGGAACTGCTGCTGAATGACATGGCTGCTGTTGTTTGTCTGCAAGTCTAAAGACCAACACTTTAAGAAAGCTAAAGAGAGAACATAGGACAGTGCAAGTCTGCATTGAGAACTTTATATATAAGCTTTAGAAAAGCTAAGCTAAAGAAAACATGGGACAGAGTGAGCCTAAGGAAAGAGACTTTAAAGAATAGAAAAGACTTGGGCTGGTGGAGTGGCTCAAGCACCTGCCTAGCAAGCAGGCACCCTGTTGCAAGGCAAGTGAGGCCCTGAGTTCAAACCCCAGTACCACCACCAAAAAAAAAAATAGAAAAGACTTTAAAAGAAAGGTTTTAAAGAATTGTATAGGAGTAAGGCCTTAAAGAATAAAGATAGAGAAAAGAAGCAATGATGCTGTTGTGCGCCTCCATCAGAGCACGCAGCACACCTGATCCAACTTTCTGCATGTCTGTCTATCTATCCTTTGTCTTTTCTGCATCTCCCATCACCCTCAGTTAGGCCCAGTTAGGTTCAGTAGTAACAGCAAGAGAAAGCTTGCTCAAAATCAGGTTTCTTCATCAGTCTTCCATTGCTCTAAGTAAACATTCAAGGCTGGGTATTTAATACAGAAAAGCTTATTTTGCTCATAGTTTTGGAGTCTGAAAGGCCAAAATTAGGCAGTCCCATAGATTTTGGGCTCTGGAGAGCATCTAGGGGTAGGTGGCATCAAAAGGGGAATGTGTAGGAAAGTGAGACATCACATGGTGAAATTAGAAGCCAGAGAGCAGGGAGGGGCCAGTATTGCTCATTTAAAAATCCTGTGGTTTTTTTTTGTTTTTGTTTTTCTTCACAGTACTTGGGTTTGAACTCAGGACCTCATACTTGTTAGGCAACCACTCTCCCACTTGAGCCACACTACCAGCCCTTTTTTGTGTTGGTTATGTTTGAAATATGGTCTCAGTTTCATTTTGCCTGGGCTGGCCTTGAATCATGATCCTCCTGGTCTCTGCCTCATGAGTAGCTAAGATTACAGGCATGAGCCACCAGCTTCTGGCTTCAAACAACCCATTCTTGTGGCATCTAACTAGGGTCCACTAATCCCATCTGCTGGCAGTGCTCCCCTTCCACTCTTACTAACCACGTAATGACTTAATCACCTTCAGTAGGCCCCACCTCCACCTTGACACCACCAAAATGAGGACAGTCTTCTAGGACATGAACCTTTCGGGGACAAACCACATTCACCTTGTAACACCAGGCTGTCTCCAAAATCTGTAGAATTCAGTACAAATAATTTGTAATATTTATTCCAGAAAAGTGGTGACAGGTTTATTCATGAGTAAAGATTCAAATGCTATTTTAGTAGTTTCCAAACATTTATTTTTTTAGAAGCAGAAAGTTTCATTCAAATAAAAATCTCATTGAAATCCCAATATAGAAAACACACACACACATACAGCTCAAGCAGTAAAGCACCTACCTCACACACAAAGCTCTGAATTCAAACTCCAATACCACCAAAACCAAAAATAATGCACTCACAAATGGTAATGGGTTTCTCAGTTACTGAGTATGCATTTACTCATTCTTCCTCATTCTATAACCTATTTTATAAAAATCTTGTAACTTAAAACTTCCTTAATACATTTGCTTTTCTTATTCTCACTGCCAATACCACCACAGTTTTTTCTTAATTACTTCTAGGGTCTCCTAATAAACCTTCCTCTTTCAGTCTCCATTTCCCCCACCCACCCACGTTTTCCAAGTCCTGTAGACTTCATGAATGATATTCACACAGTGAAAGTGACTGGGACACTCACTGATTAAAACACTTGGTGGCTTTCATTGTTTCCAGAAAAGGTCTAATTCCCTTAGCATGGTGTGTAAAATCTGCATTAGGCTTGGCTTTTCTTATCTAACTAGTTTTGTTACTAGTCTGTCCTCTTCCCACTTCTTGCTCAGTCATACCAATTTGTATATCTTTTCTTCCTTTTTTAAAACTTTCTGCTTCTTCCTGAGCAAAATTCTGTCTTCTCTCTCACTTCTTTCTTCTTAAACCTTCTTCATCCCTTAATGGTGCTGCTGTGCTAAACTTTATCATTAAACTAGGTCAAGAGTCACTTCTACAGATGTGTATTTGTGAATTTAGTTGTGTTTGAAAGTGTACTCTTCAAGTTTAATTTTTTTTTGGTGGAGGTGGGGTTTGAACTCAGGGCTTCATGCTTGCTAGACAGATGCTTTACCACTTAAGCCACTCCACCAGCCCTTCAAGTTTAATTCTCATTTTTCAGTTGACATGGGAACACAGAGTAACAACATCCAGTCAAATGTCAATTTAAGATTCCTATATTTTCATCATAAAACTAAGGTCATAGACACATCTAAGAAATCTCTTCAAGTAGCTAGGGGCAGTGACCCACACCTGTAATCCTAGGTAGTTGGGAGGTAGAAATCAGAAGAATCACAGTTTAAGACCAGCCTGGAAAAAAGTTCATGAGACCCCCCCATCTCTACAGATAAAATCTGTCATCTCAGCTATGTGCGAAGCTAAATAGAAAGATGGTGGTCCAGGCCAGCCTGGGGCACAAAGACGAGAACTTATTTGAAAATAGCTAAAGGAAAAAGGTCTGGGGAGCATGACTAAAGTGGTAGAGCACTTGCCTAGCAAGGGCAAAGCCCTGAATTCAATCCCCAGTACCATTAAAAAAAAAAAATTCAAGTAACAGTTCTCCGATTTGTCCTATCTAGGATCCTTTCTAAAGTTCACACCATTTTCCATTGTCTGTCATTGCCTCTACCAACATATACGCAAAAGCATAAAGGAGATGCTATTTACTGTTTCTAAAATAAGAGAGACAGGATCAAATAGGTACGTCTTAGAAAAACAATGTTTGGAATCCATCTGTGCCCAGATCCACTGGGGATCAGAAGAAGTAATGGACCAGAACAGCCCTTCTGTTCTCAATTTCCACCACTATCATCATTGGGCTATAATTTTTGGTTAGAAATACTCCTTTCTAAGTTTGAAGTGTTATTGAATTCAGTTTTTGCATGAAAATTACTCATTAATTGTGAACAAATGATCCAACCTCTTGCTTAGAATAGTGATTTTTCATGCAATGTCTCAAGTCATGAAAGATAAGAAAAAACTAAAGATTGGTTCTCCATTGATGTGTTGGCCAGATGCAATCGTGGACAGGAGCCCTGGCGACAGAGGAAACAGAAATGGAGGTTGGGAGTTCGATGTTAAAATAGGAAAAAAAAATGTTAGAACAATAAATAAGGCTAGGATGGGGTATGTAGCTCACTGGTAGAGGACTTGTCAAGAATGTACAAGGTCGTAGGTTCGATCCCCAACACCACAAGAAACAATAACAATAAATTTCTATGAGAATTAATAAGGCTTGAGCAGGGTCTGTGAATTAGATGGTTATGTTATTATTTGTGTTCATTTGCTGATTTTGGTGGATGAACTAAGGAACAGGAAAAGTTTTTATTTGGAGAAGAATGCGCAGCATTTCTCAACTTACTCTTAAAAGCTTCAATAAGAAGAAAGGCTCTTGAAAGAGAGAAAGAGTAAGAGAGAAAAGGGGACAGGGCAAATGTGAGAATGATGACTGCTGACAATCGGAAAATATGGGCAGATAGTGAGTTTTTTGCATTGTTCTTCTGATTTTTTTGGTAACTTTTAAATGTTTTCAAGACTGAAATGTAACTAAAACAAAACAAAAAATACAAACAAATGAAAATAAAGCTGGGCTGGAAGATGCTGGCAAGCAATAGAAAGTATCACTTACCAAGAAATTAATTCATTCAAAAATTCTTTACAAGCTAATACATATTTTATGCATATCTTCTTGGAGAAGACTTGCTATTTCTATATATTTTTTCAACAGTAAACGGTAGATAAGAGATGGGATTATTTTGTACCTCAGAAGAAATAAATTGGAAGTTCTCAAATTAAAAATATATTTACTCAGTATTAATTTAGTATGATTACTTTAAGTAAAATTTATGCCATAATCAAAGAGATGCAGTAATCAAAACAATATAAAATTCTCTTCAAGAATGATAGTGAATAATTTTGAAACAATGCATCTGTGTATGAAGACAGTGTAATGTAATGCACTGTAAACTGTTGGATAAGAGGGGAACAAGACAATAAAGAGAAAATAATAGAGGGAGTTAATCTAGTTAAAAGCATGATATATACATGCCTGAAATGCCAAGGCAAAATCCCCTTGAACACCTGAAAAATGAAGGACAGGAAGATAAAACAGGTCCTGTCCAGGGATCGATACTAGTGGAGTAAGAAGGATAAACAGAGAGGGTAAAGGAAGGTGAACATGGTGGATGAATTTTGTATCCATGTATGAAAATAGAACAATGAAACTTGTTGAATGAAACTTGCTCTAAGAAGGAGGGAGAGTAGGGGATGAGAAAGAATAATGGAAGGAGTGAATCTAATTAAGATATATTGTAAGTACATACGTAAATGTTACAGTGTATCTCTTCTATACAACTTTTACATTCAAATTAAAAAATTCTCTTCAAAGCTCCAAAATGTATTAAAATTATTAGAAGTGATATTTCTAAAAATATATGTCATTCATGCTAAGCAAAGAGTTTCTTGAAATTAATCAATTTCTCCAGTAGCAAATGAAGGTCTGAATATTTCAACTGCACATCACACATTCAGACCAGTTTTTAATCAAAATTCAATTTCAAAATAATTACTTTCTATATTGGATAAGATAATATCATCTTAAAAAGAAAAAAGCTATAACTCTGATTCACTTTTTAGCTTCCTAGATTAAATAAACATTGTGAAAATGTATTGTGAATATTAATTACTACATCCAAAAATATACACAATTAAATAATGAACATAGAAAAGAATGTGGCATTGAGAGAAATCAATGCATAAGCAGACAACTCTTTCAGTTGAGGAGGGAGACTTACATGGTAATAATGGGACACCAAGAAAGATGAAGGGAATCTGAGAATTTCTTCACTACCAAGTGATGACCAGAATGAAAGGTCTATCATAGGACCAGGTCAGGAGAGGACAAGGTACTAAAACTCTATCTTTAGTCGTGGTTACACTGATAAGCAACACTAATGAGAACTGCCACTCAAAAAGAAATACTGTTTATTCCTTTTGTTACTCATTCATAAAATGTTTATTTAACATTTATGATGTACCAAGCACTGTCATAGGAATAATACAGAGGCAAAAAAACCATTGTTTTTCAATTAATTAACTTATTTATTTACTTGAGACAGGGTCTCACTATGTGACCCAGGCTGTCATCCCAATTGGAAATTCTCCATCTTCCCCCGAAGTGGTGGGATTACAGGTGCACACCCACTATGCCCAACTGACTTTTCTTGGTGTGCTCATAGAGTATCTCCTCAGACAGCTGAGGGATAACCAATGGTAACACTGTGAACTATGTTCTCCAACATAACTTCTGTTAGAGGTCTAACCATAACTCATAATAGAGCTACTAGCTCTGAACCACATTCTCAGGAGAGGCTCAGAGGAAGAAATGTTGGGTCTGGGAAATGGGCTGATGCCATGTACGAAACCAGCTGCCCACGCATGATACCTGGAAATGGTTGTTGTGAAGATACAAATTAGCCATTTCGTGAAGCTGTTGACAAAGTCTTACCAATTGTAAAGACTGAAATGGCAACAAACAAAAACTCAGACAGGAAGTTGTTTAAATAATAATGACATTTATGAAGTTACGTAACAAAACTTCTAGAAATAAAGCAGCCCTCAGTTCTTTCCACCTCTCTGCTCTGCCACTCTTAGCACTGCTAAGTGGATACGACACTGAATATCGACTAAGAAAGCAATGTGTGCAGAATAGGACAAGAGGCTGTCACAACCTCACATTCCTTCCCAGAAGGGTAAGAATTTTAGAGAAGGCATGAATTTGACATTCCCTTTAACTGAGGTCTAAAATGGAATACAGGGTTGATATTTTAATCAATCAATGGTAGGAGAATCAGAACAAGGATGGTTACACAAATAGGAGACCTTTGTCATACTACCCCACTGGCCAACACCCTATATGCTTGTTATCTTTCAGAATGCATATACATCTGGAACCAGTAAAGCAAGCTCTAGAAATGACTTGCTAGTTGTGTATCATCTCTGACCACACCTTCAGCCACTGAGGCATTTGTTTTGGGCATGAGTTTGTTTCCTGAAATTGACTGGAGGGTTTTCACTTACCCTATTTTGTCCTCTTCATATTCTTAATAACTGTTCCACTTACAAAGCTGTAATATATTACATATTTCTTCTTTATATGTTTTCTTCAAAAGCAGTTCATTATCCCACTGAAGTTATTACTTTGTAGTGTTAAAACCTAAATCTCTTGTTTGCGTAGTCCATATAAAGATGATTCAAGGTGCTGGTGGAGAGGTCAACTGGTAGAGCACCTGCCTAGCAATCTTGAGGCCCTGAGTTCAAACCCTAGTATAGCCCAAAAAATGGAGTATTTTGTGTATTTTTCTGTGTTGAAGGAATATTTTATATTTTTACATTTTTTTTATTTCTTTTAGTAGACAAAAATGCAAATATTTTTCTGGTCCCGGATCCTCTAACTTTCCAGCATCCTCAAAACACTGGAGCCCAGAGCTGTGATAAAATCCACAACCCTTGAATCAAATAGGTCTTAGTAAACTCAGTGCCTGCAAAGTCCACCTCCACTTTTTGGGTTGTAGAACATGACTTCCGAAGTAATTGCCCAAAGATTTGCTTACCTTTGTTTTCCTTTTTGAATGTAGATATAAGACATCATGTTTTTCCTTAAAACTTCTCAAAATTGACTTCCCAATTTAAAATGGTATCTTTGAATTCCAGATGACTTTGTAAACCTGAGAAATGAATTTTAACACAACTCAGTGACTGGATTGTCACCTTTCTTCCCAGTCCTCAATTGCCTTTGGTTGACAATAAGGATATTATTAATAATACCCTACACCTCACTCCAAGTATCTGTAAGCATCTCGGTTCATTAACTAATATCAATACATCAACCCTGCAAGGAAGGGAAGGGAAGATATATTATAAAGAAGGTGACTTACCCAAACAAAAAAACAGCTGAGATCAACCAAGCCAGGATGTCCTTATTTTCAGGGGAAAACATCCCAGTCAGGTGTTCATCAGACATTTGTCAGATATTCTTTCAGGGGAACTCAGCATTTATTATTCAAAAGAATGCTGTCTATTGAAAACTATCTCCATTCCACAGTAATACTTATCAGGTGACTCAGGTGTCAGTCTCTTTGCTAGAAGATTTAATGGCTGACCTGAATTAAACTTTGCATGTTAATTTTTTGTCTCTTAATTTGGAGGTAAATAGAATGAGTCAAATGCTGGTGCCTAGGATCTTAGACTTGCTGCAGCCCATTGGCTACTGAGAGTATCATGTGATGACAACATTCTTTAAATGAAGCTGCTGGAAGCACTGTGATGCTCACTCACATTTCTCCAGGTTTGGTCGTGAGTGTCTCTCAGAAAGCCTTCCATCATGGTCGAGTCCTTTGTAGGAACCTGGAAGCTGGTCTCCAGTGAAAACTTTGATGATTACATGAAAGAACTGGGTAAGAAATAGTAGTATAAGATTTGAGAACTGATGTGGTTGGGTTTGCATTTTGCAGTGACTTTTCCCACAGTTCTCTCTCTTTTGTGATCTTGGGTTATGCGACTACCATACTACTTTGGTCTTTCCTTATTCTCGGTAATAATTGTGTCTTTTTGAAATTCTAGGCTCACAAATATCTCTGTAGTCATAATCTATATATTTAAGCCCATTTGTCCTTTTGGAAAATGCTTCATGCTAACTCTATATATCGTTTCTCTTTAGTTCGGTCATTTCATTTAATAGATTTTTCTCTAGCTTCAAATTTATAGTAATCACTATCTAAAATTAAATTTGTTTCAGTGTTTGTTTCAAGTTATACTTTATAACAGCAGTAATAAAAAGCAAAATTTCTAGTTAATTTTTAGAATTCTCATTCACATGAGATATTTTAAAATGTTATTTTGAAGAATTCCTAATTTCGGTGGGAGAAGGGAAGAACACTTTTACTCATTGAATGCCTCACCATTGGATGTTTCTCAGAAATATAACCCTACCTATCCTTTACCTCTAACTCACATTAGCTGTTAAATAGCAATTATGAGTTGCATCAATGCAGCTGCGTTGTTTTTTACTGATGCTAGAAGAACATTGATTATTTACTATTTTTTCCTATTTAGTTAAGAAAAGCCTGTTTTACAATAATAAACTACAGACAAAGCCAAGAACTTTCTTCTTCTTTTTTTTTTTAACTTACCGGGAGTGATCAATGGATGCTTCCAAGTATTAATAATATGTGTATCCAATCTATGCAATGAAACAACAGACTTTATCCCAGATAATAAATCAGTGTGCTTATAAATATAATACTTATTGCTCTTTCTTTGTCAGTATTAACTTTCTCAGGAAGTAATAAGTTTCCTATCTCTTTATGGATTTATATATTCATTTGTTTGACTCAAAATTTGGGGGGTATATAGAAGAAACATGGGGTTTACAGGTAGAAAAGAACTCGGGCTGATAAGGAGCTGGGATTAGGCATAGCACCAGGAGGGAAAATTTACTGAGCAGCAACTTTGTCAGTACCATGCTAAGGCTTCCATCAAATCTCCCAACACAGCTGTAAGGCGAGAACTAGTTACCTACACTTCGTTACTGAGAAAGCTGAAGGGTAGAGAAGGTCAACACTCCCCCACTTGCAGGTGGCAAAGCTGGGGTCTAGACTGTAAGTGCGCCTTTCTTCTTTGCAACTCTCCTGCTTAACGCTACTTCTCTGCAGTGAAGTACATCACATCTGTTCCCTGATTTGAATGGGGAACAGAGTTTAGTACTGATTCATGGAGAGAAGGCGTCAGCTCAGCTCACCTACTGTAGAGTCAAGTTTGACACTGGAAAATCCCTAACCTGAACCACAGGGCCCTGGGCGTAAACTAAATACCTGCTATACTCATCTTTGTAAGTTTCCGTGAGGAAAAGAACAAACGTTTGGTCCCTGAAAGGCACCATGCAAAATAGACATTTTGGATGAAAGACAATAGTCTCAAAAAGTGAAATTAGCTTTTAAAAATGTCAGAATTACTAACTCTACCTTATGATTTGGGAGGACCTGATTCAATCCAATTACCAAACAGAACATAAAAGAAGTTACTGTATGTTAGCTAAAACTTCAGTGGAGAAAGTATGCATGCTTTGAAAGTTACAAGTGTAAACACCTGAATAAAGTGTGCTGCTTTCTCTGTCTTACAGGAGTGAATTCTGCAGCCCGGAACATGGCTGCCTTAGTGAAGCCCACCGTCCGTATTAGTGTCAATGGGGAAGTTGTGAAGATCCGAACAGAAAGTTCTTTAAGGAACATTGAGATCTCCTTCAAGCTGGGAGAAGAATTTGATGAAACCACTGCAGACAATCGGAAAGTGAAGGTCAGTTAGAACTAAATCTTCCTGCTGTCCAGCAACCAGGGGAAAAAACAAAAAACAAGCAGATGATGCTGAGGCGTGGTTTAATCTGTCCTTTGATTTATTACCAAGTCAGTTTGGACCTGTTTAACATTTGCATGTCTCTAAAGTAAATCTTTTTGCTAAATATTCTGATGATTTAATAGGACTAAGAAGTTCAAATTGTTCTCACCTTTTTTTCTGCTGTCACTTTGTCATTACATAAAAGATTGCATGAAAAGGAACAACTACTAAGCACAAATAGCTTAGGAATTATTTGCCTCAGAGAAAAACATTAATTGAATAATTTCTTGAGACTTCTAGGTTGAGAGTATTAAAGTATTATGACAAGAATTAAGGTAAGGATTTTGAAGAACAGAATTTCAAAACCTAAATTAAAAGGTAGATGTCTATTCTTATAAGTTACAATGTGGTGGTTGCTACATCTGACTGATTTCTTTACGCATTTGTAGAGCATCGTAACCTTAGACAGTGACACAATGATTCATGTCCAAAAATGGCTTGGCAAAGAAACAACAATTAAAAGAAAAATTGTTGATGGAAAAATGGTAGTGGTGAGTTTTCTCTAAATTTATATTTTTATATATTTCTATTTGATACCTGTCAAACTACTCAACTCTTTTGTACCCTGAATTACGGGTTTGGTCTAGGGGTCAAGAGGCAGGACAAGTTTAACCTGTCAACTACCAACTCTAATAGATTCCTTTTTGCTTTTAGGAATTTACCATGAATAATGTTGTCAGCACTAGAACCTTCGAAAAGGAGTGAAAAATGGGGCGTCATCAAGGAGAACTTGTTCATAACAGAAAACGGTACATGAAGAAAATATGCCTCAGGGCCAGTGATTTAAAAAAATTCTCAATATAAGTTGCTCAATAAAAGCATCAAATTAAGTGCAGCTTAGAGTTATTCAATAATAAGAGTTAGAGTCTGATGAATTGGTGAAGGAAGTAGCTACTTGCCTGTGGTGTGGTTGTAACAACACCAATATCCCCTCTGTCCTGCCTACTTAGCCACAGGCCTGAGTTTCCACCAATGAGCCCATTCCATTTAGGTTAAGACATTCTGCAAAGTCATGTTGAAATTCACATGACCTCAAATATGGATATATTATATCATTGGAGCCTACTTTGGGCAACATAGATGTAAGAAAAAAAATCATTGCTGACTTTTTATTTTTAGAGAAGTCTAGCCTTACTTAAAGATCACATATGGATTGGATGATAACGATGGATAGACAGGAAAACAGAGTATAAAATAGACATTGTACACTGTGGTTGAGTTGTGATAAAAGAGCTTTTTTTGGTGGTGATGAGGTTTGAACACAGGGCTTCATGATTGTTAGACAAGTACTCCATCACTTGAACTACTCCACCAGCCCCTGACTAAATAGATTTTGAAGCAGCTATTGTCTCTCTTCTCCCTAAATTCATTAAAGATAATCAGACTTGTTCATCTCTCACCACTGTTGATGATTTAACACTTGCTGACTGGCATTTTATAAAATGCCAGGCCCAAATCTCTAAATGTCTAGTGAGAACACAACTGTTGGAACTTCACAAGTATCTTAACAGTTTCACCGATTGCTACTGCTAGGTAGGAGTGTTCTCAAAGCAATGGAGAGAAAGTTAAAGGGCAAAGCCTGTAAAATGGAGGCTTCTGTAGCAGTGGAAGGAGGAAAAGAAAAAGGAGGAATTCTGCAAATAATCAGGTCCCTCAAATTGAAAAAGAAATAGCAGTTGGCCAAACACAAGTTCAGAGCCATGTTGAATGTGAATTAATGTAGACTATCCATAGTCATCCAAACTAGGTGAGCAGTTATTAAGAATTACACACAGGCATAAAGGCTGGGGACTTACTAGGCAAACCGAGGGTTATGGTCATCTTTGGAAGGTGAAATTGAAGAATAATGAAATAATGAACAAAAAGATTAAAGTACAGAGTGGGAGTATAAACTGAGTCCTTGGCCAAGGGAAGGGCTGTCATATTAGACATAAAGACCTGTAAGCATTCAGCTGTGCACTGGCCGCACAGCCACTGTCTGTGACCAGTAATATTCAACCCACTTGGCTTGTCCTCTTTCCATATATATATATATATATATATATATATGTATATATATGGTACTTGTATATATATATACATATATATATGGTACTGGTGTTTGAGCTCAGGTCTTTGAGCTTTCTAGGCAGGTGCTGTATCACTTGACTCACCCTCCATCTGGCTTGTTCACCTTCTTAAAGAACTTAAGTATATATAAATATCACTCTTTAAGGAATCATCCATTCATTCATTCGACACATTCCTTTCTGATGACCATTGTGCCTGCTGCTATCTTAGGTGCTGGAAAACAGCAGTGCATTGGGCAGAGTTTCACAACCGCCTTTTGCTCTTTCATGAAGCAGAGGCATCTTGAAACCCTAGCCCCTTAATTTTGTCAAATGATGCCAAAATTTTTGTAAAAAATATTCAAATATATACTTAGAATCTTTACTAAGAACTTTCACATAATTAGTCTCTTGGTATATCTAACTTGCTTCCAAAAATCTAAGTATTTATCTCTAAGCAAATCACAAAATAGTCACATTGCATCAGGTTTGTAGATAAAGGATAAGTGTGAGATTTCATTACAGTGCTTTGATCAATAAAAAGTCATGATTCATTTAGTCTCCAAGATGATTTGAAATAAAAGAACTGAGAATATCTTTTATAAGCCACACAGGAAAGTATATTTTATTTTGAATTTTTTAGCCTGAATGACTTAGCAGAATATCATTATGCTTTAGATCCACATCAAAGTTCATAGGAAAGTACTAATTAACTAAAAACCAATCACACTAATGCTATCATTGATATTAACTATCCCAGAATAATTCACCAGATATTCTTTTGTGTTACCCAGTACTACTCAGTAAATAATTGACACTTTGAACATTCTTAGTAGTATTTAATATTCATACCTTTGCACCAAAAATGCAATGAACATAAAATGGCATATTTTTCTTCAGTGGTTATAAAAAGACTGCTGACTATCCCAAAGATATTAACTAAAGACAGATGGAACCTTAGGATAAAATATCAGGGCATAACCTAACCCCAAAATGACATGTTCTTACAATTTCCATTTTGAACATTAAGGGAGAAAATTAAGTTATTCTTTTTGAAGTTTGGGATCTAGGCCCCTTGTCCTTCTTTTAAGAAGGTGGAGAGGGACCATCTAACCATTGATAGGACAGACCTCATGTATTGCCCCAGAGAAGCCTGAAGTGAGGTAGAAGGGGTTGGGGGACACATCAGAGCTGGACTTGCAGCATCTTCTGCCATTGATGGCTCCATGAGGGCCTACATGAATGCCTTAACCAACTTAGTTTTCTCCTTTACCTGATGGACATTTACCTACTTCTCAGGGTTGAAATGAACAAGAAGAGTGCCTCAGGCAAGGCCCACAGGCCATGAGAAATTGCTAGTTAGGTCATAACAAAGGGTTGTTATGTAGAGATAATTGCCCATTACCACCTTCCTTTGTCTCCTTCTGTAAATAAACTTTCCAAAGCAGATCTCCCCTGATGTTCTTGTCTAAACAACCCCAGCACTGTGCTCTAACCCAGCACTGACTCACCTATTAACCCAAACACATTCCTTGTAACCTGATGCCTTGCACTACTCTTTAAGTACCCTGTGAATTCTTTATTCAGAGCACCAGAATTTTTGAGTGTGAGCTCATCTGGGACGCCAGCATAAAATAAAATCTGAGTTCTCTACTTCCTGAGTGTCACTTGGTTTCTCATCTGACAATATTTCCACAACATTTCTGGAGACCTCAGCAAGATATGAACTGTTCTGGCCCCTAAAGCCACCAGCTGGCAGCTGGACCCCACTGGAGTAGGAAGGGACTCAGGATCGAACGAGGTGGTACACCACCCAGTGGTATTCTGGGTCCTCCTTCACCCCAGAGTTCCAACCCTCTGAGCAGTCTTGACCTGACTTGGACTCCAAGGAGAACTGAACCAACTTACCTGACAGTTTCATCTGGACCTGGTAAGCATCCCCTCCACCCCGGAAAGTCAGTCCTCAGTCAGGTCCTGTCCCACTGGGTAGAAGGGGAGTTTGATCCACTCCTGGGAACCTCTGAGAGGAGTTCCATATTTCAGGGACTTCCCCAAAAAGGGGAGAAGGATAACTGTAATAACTTTGGTGTGACTGTGTGAGTGAATGAGTGGCCTGATTTGTCCTTGCTTCAGGCTCAAGTTTGTGGCTCCACATCTAAAAAGCTACAGAGTCCGAGTGGGTCTGTCCTGTGGTTCTGTGGTGATCTTCATATGGCTTAGGGTGGTGTCAGGGAAACCCAACCTAGAGTCACAAGGCTGACCCGGCCATCAGTGCTAAGAAGCACCGAAGTTCCTTTGGGATGCAGCTAGGCAGACATCTGATTGGTCTCTTCTCTTGAAGGAGCACCCACCCTTGTTTGTCTTTGCACCACCAATGCAGGGAAAGGAATACACAGTATGGGTATAGGAGACACCTCTAACTGCCATGGGTGCAAGTTCCTCAAAACACACAGTCCTAGAATGTATGCTTAAGCATTTTAAGAAGGGATTCTCAGAAAATTATGGGATCAAAATGTCTCCTGGAAGGCTGCACTTGCTGTATGAGTTAGAATGGCCTACTTTTGGAGTCAACTGGTCCCCTGAAGACACCCTAGATTTTCCTACTGTCAGGGCCATTTATCAGATTGTAATAGGAAGCCCTGGGTACCCTGATTAGTTCCCATATATTGACTCCTGGCTTCATGTGGCTCAGACCATGCCCCCTTGGGTCTGATTCTGGGCCAACAAAATGGAACAGAGCAGAGTTTTCATGGCCCAGGCAATGAAGCCTAAAGACCATAAGCTGACCAAACCTGTTCTGCAAGGGGATCCAGAGGTGAACTACCTGTGTCCCCACCATACATTCCCAGCACACCCCTACAATCAGAGTAGCCAGTGCCACCTTTCCCAGACAGCCTGCCACCTTCAGTGAGTCCTCCTCAGTCCTGTTAGCAGTCTCCTAGTCCCAACGATGTCCCACACCTGTCCCCGGCTTGGACTCAGAGTCCACAGCCCCTGAGCTACCACCTTCACTCATCCTAGGCACCAGCCCCTTAGGCCAGGGCCCTGCAAATGCTGCTCCATGAGAGGCAAGAGCCCCAGCAGATTGGTGTTGATGGAACAGTCCAGCCCGGATGCTCTATCCTCTATTACCTGTCTTTCAGTACAACTAACTTCTTAAATTGGAGGAACCATACATTGCCATAATCAGAAAAACCTCAGACTGTGGTCAACCTCCTAGAATCCGTATTCCAGACCCATCAACCAACTTGGGATGACTGCCAACAGATCCTTCAATACAGAAGAGCAATAGTGAATTCTAACAGAAGCTTGCCACTGGCTCCCAAGGGCAGGCCCCAGCAAGAACCAGCAAGAACTCTAGATACAGATGTTCAGAGAGGCAGCCCCTGATGCTTGGCCTACCTGGGATTTCAATACAGCAGAAAGACGAGGAGTCCTCACTCAATTCAGGCCACCCTCCTACACGGGCTCAAGGCTGGAGCTAAGAGATCTACCAACATATCCAAAATTGCAGCAGTTACCCAGAAACCAGAGGAAACACCAACTGATTTTTATGAAAGACTCTGTGAGGCCTTCTGGGTATACACTCCCTTTGATCAGGAAGTGCCAGAAAACAATCAAATGGTCAATACAGCGTTTGCAGCCCAATCATATGCTAACATTCACCAGAAACTTCAGAAACTTAAAGTTTCACTGGAATG